TACTGCGATATATAACTTCCAGATCCTCCTCTCTTTTCTACCTTTGCATTAATTTTTTTTCCTCTTCTTTTTTTTTCTCTTCTTTTTCTTTTGTTAGTTTGTTCGTTCTATGTTGGTTTGTGTTTTGTATACTGTTGTACTTGTTATGTGTTTAAATGTTGTGTGGGGCGGGGGTGGTAGGTGTTTTCTAGCTCTTTCTCTTTTGATATACATAATTTTTTGTCTCTAAAGGAAATTTTAAGAGGTAAACAGAATACAGTGGAAAAGAAATAATATGAGATTTATAATCAAACTGGTCGAGAAAATAGTACAAACGATTTCTTTTGTGGTGAAAATATAATTTTTCTTATGTGAATATTTTCATATGTAAATGTGTAACTTAAGTTGGAACCTTGTATGTTAATGTAAAAGTTCATTTGCAAATTTATTAAGACCGGTGCTGTTTACATTCCTCCTGAAAATTCTAAATATTTTAACGAGTCTATGTTTGATGACATTGCTTCTGATCTTCTCATGTTAAAAAATGTACATAACATGCCATTTTGTCTTCTTGGAGATTTTAATGCAAGAACAGGTGTTGAAAATGAAATCTCTGGTTATTCTGAGGATTGCGCCAACAGTCATTATGTGAATGATTTTGATAACGATTATATAAACACTGATAATTTCCAGACTTATAACATAAGGTTGAGAAGATGTAACAGCGACGCTGTTATTAATAACCACGGAAAAAGATTTCTTGAACTATGTAGACATTTTAAACTGATTATTGCAAACGGTCGTGTAGGCGTGGATAAACAAGGTGATTTTACATGTGCTAACACAAGTACCATTGATTATTGTGCCGCATCGCTCGAATTATTCCATGTCCTTAATCATTTTGCGGTTGATGTATTTGACCCTTTTTTGTCTGACAAACATAATCCCATTGTATTAAGATTGAATAGCGAAAGCAGTTATGAAAAATGTAAAAGTGAAGGAAAAGTGAAAAAAGTTTCGGGATCAACGACGAAAATTAAATGGAGTGTAGATTCTGCTAAAGATTTTGTTGATAACATCGATCAAAGTCTAGTTGAAAATATACATCATGCTGTTGATCGTTTGGAGGGTCACGACATTCAGATTGATCAGGAATCAATCGATAATGTAGCTTTTTTATTAAAAAATATTTACCTTACGGCGGCCAAAAAAAGTGGAATGGTAAAAACCTATGGAAATTATAAACCTTGTAAATCTGGTCGAAAGCGGAAACCATGGTTTGATGCAAACTGTGCTCGGTTAAGGGCTCAGTATTTTCATCTTAAAAATCTTAGGAAGACTGATAAATCTGATAGTATTGAAAAGGAATATACCAAAGTTAAGAAAATGTATAAAAAAGCTATTCGTTCAGCTCAAAGCAACTTTGATATAAAAATCCACAGTGAATTAAGAAATCTTAAAATCAATCAACCACAAGCATATTGGAAAATTATTAATTCAGCTAACGGTTTAAATAATGAAAAAACCCCAATTGAAATTCATTCTCTTGAACAACACTTTCGTGGTCTGAGCCAAAATCAAAGAGATAATGCAGATATATTAGAACCTGACCAAATTCTTTCGAGCAATCAATGTATCAATCGTTCTATAAGCAGGGAAGAAGTAACACGTCAAATAAATAGACTGAAAACGGTAAGGCACATGGCGATGATTTAGTTCTAAATGAATTTTTGAAGTGTAGCACAAAGTCTGTTTTATCAGTAATCATTAGGTTATTTAACATTGTATTAGAAAGTGGAATTGTACCATCTGAATGGACAATAGGGTTAATTCACCCTCTTTATAAGAAGAAAGGAAATCCTAATGATCCGAACAACTATAGAGGAATAACATTGCTTAGTTGTCTTGGCAAGCTGTTTACAGCAGTCTTGAATGAGCGACTTACGTCTTATCTCGAAGATAATGAATTGCTAGGTGATGAACAGGCTGGTTTTCGAAATGGTCATTCAACGCTTGATCACATTTTTGTTCTTCATTCAGTGACCGATTTATATCTCTCTTCAAAAGAGAGGGTTTATTGTGCATTTATTGACTACAAGAAGGCATTTGATTTGGTTGACAGGAGTTCTCTTTGGAATAAATTACTTAAGAATAATGTTGATGGAAAGTTTTTCAATGTAATTAAGCATATGTATGCTCAGGCTAAGTCATGTGTAATTTCTGGTACAGAAAAGTCTTCTTCATTTGATTGTAACATTGGTGTGCGACAAGGAGAAAATTTGTCTCCGATGCTATTTGCCCTTTTTTTAAATGACTTCAAACAATTCATTTGTGAAAAGTTTGGAGGCATAAATATTCTTCCTGACAAGATTGATGCAGCTGCGTATCAAAAAGGTATAGATGTATATCTCAGGCTTTTTACATTACTGTATGCAGACGATACAATAGTTCTTGCAAAAACTGAAAGTGAACTTCAGCTTGCTCTTGATGCAGTATCTGATTACTGTAAAAAATGGTTTCTTCAAGTTAACACAGCTAAAACCAAAGTTGTTGTATTTTCTCGTGGTAAAGTTCGAAAAATTCCTATATTTAAATTTGATCATGATATTGTAGAAGTTGTTGATGAATACGTCTATCTTGGAACTACTTTTAACTACAACAACAAATTTCGTAAAGCTCAAATTAAGCAACTTAATCAAGCTAGACGAGCAATGTATAGTCTATTATCTAAAACTTATCAACTGCACTTACCTATTGATATCCTCTTGGAATTATTTGATCAACTTGTGTTGCCCATTCTGCTCTATGGAAGTGAGATATGGGGATTTGAAGTGCTACATGATCTTGAAATTTTCCACATGAAATTTTGTAAGCAAGCCCTTTCTGTCAACAAAACAACTGCAAATTGTATGGTACTTGGTGAATTGGGGAGGCTTAAACTTGAGAAATATATCGAAAGCAGAATGATAAACTTCTGGTGTAGGATTGTACATAGTGGACAGGATAAATTTTCTGGTAAGGTGTATATTATCTTAAAATTACTCTTTGAGAAGAATATATATCAGGCACCTTGGTTAAAAAAAATCAAGCTGACTCTGGACAATATGGGGATGTCTAATTTATGGGAAATGTGTGAAAATACTAGCTATGAGTGGGTCAAACAAACTGTGGAACGTCGATTGAGAGATTCTCATGCTCAGTATTGGTCTGCTTGTATGTATGATAATTCGCATTGTGTTAACTATCGAATCTTCAAACATTCTTTATGTTTAGAAAGATACTTAATCGATCTCATTAAAAGAGATCGGACAATATTAAGTCGTTTTCGCTGTGGCAATCATTACCTGCCGATTGTAGCTGGTAGATATTCAAATACTCCAAGGGAAATGAGGCTATGTACGCTGTGCAATTTGCAATCGCTTGGGGATGAGTTTCATTACTTGTTTGTATGCCCTACCTTTCGTTCAGAAAGAAAATTGTTCATCGATAAATATTTTATTGAAAGACCAAATACACTGAAAATGGATCAGCTTTTTAACTCCAATAATGTACAAACACGTTTAAACTTAGTAAAATTCTGTCGAAAAATAATGCTTCGTTTTCATTAATTTAAGTATTTGCAAAAACATGTTATGAGTTCAATATTAACTTTATGTTTCTCTTTTTTGTCTTATATCAATTTATTAAATTGATATCAAGAATATTTTCAGTAATTCATTAATTCAGATATCAATTTACTGGTGCCAGTAAATTTCTTTTTCAATTGCTTCCTTTAATTTCGTCATTAATTATCGTTTTAATTAATATTATCGTTTTGTTTTTGATTATTATTAGTATTATCATCATCAATATTGTTATCATTATCATCATAATTTTTCTCACTATTGTCGATAGTGTTATTTTGTATGGATTAACATTAATTCTATTTGTATTGTATATTTCACAGTGTTTAATTGACAAATTCAAACTGATTGTAAACTTCTCCAATACCCCAATGTGGGTGACATGAGAAAAAAAAAAAAAAAAAAAAGTACTACCATTTTCACTGGCTGCTCACGTCGGCCCACATGGCTTCAACCCTCGAGGCGCCGATGCAGATCCCGTTTACACGACATAAAGTTGCAGGGTTGAAGCCGCGAGGTGGATTGAGACCTGCAATTCTGGTGGATTCAAGGGGCGGCTTCAACCCGGCTTCAATCCTCACTGGGATCCCGTTTACACACATAAAACTGCAGGCTTCAACCCGGCTTCAACCCTCGATGCCGATCACTGTGTAAACACGGTATATATGACGCGAAGGCAATCTGAATATGATCGAGAAGGCTTGGCTCCAACTTTAATTTATCTTCAATATAAGGTGTAAAGCATAATTTGTTGATTAACGTTCCATTAGATCTTCTTCGATGTGGTATAAAACAAATAATGAATGTTTTTCATTCGTTTAATAGTGCGAATATTTTCATTCGTTGAATAGACGCCGCGTTGAATAGAATGTTAATCTTTCAACTCATGAAAATATTCGCACTATTGAACTCATAACCATTCATTATGTGTATAATAATAATAATATAATTTATCTACCTAAAATGTGAGAACTTAGATAAACACACATAAAAAAGCATATAATTGAAAGCTTGAAAGTATGGAGATAAGTAAAATATTCAAGATAATTACAGAGGCCAACTATCGTAAGCAAGAATGCTTGAGTCGATAGTCGTACATGGCGCTGTTGTAGGAGTTTGTAGGAGAATAGAGTGCCATGTATAACATTTTTGTTCAGAAAGCATCTAAATAAAAGTGGAAAGAAAGTATAAAACAAAGAAATGTAAGTTGGCTCTATATACCATTCCAGACATTTAAGTGTTACAACAAGATTTTCAAAACCATGTCTTATGTCTTAATTTTATGGGAAAACGGTTGGGAAAATTCAAAAAAGGTTGGGAGAATTTACGGTCAGAGGATTTCGCACACTGACGCCTTCAGAGAAAACTATAAATATCTTTGAGGTTTGAGAATTTTCGCAGGATTTTGTGCATGTTAAAGGGTTAGTATAGTAGAAGGAATATGATAAGTATCATTGCATCCCAAAAATACGCAGTTTTGTCATCAAGCTTAAACAATGTTACCGAGTTACTTTGAGGAAAGCACACAATTTCGACTTTCTTTTAAATCTCAGTGTTGCCCTGGAAAAGGTGAGGATTTATCACATGGACTGGCTAGAAGATGAACCAAGGAGGTTTGAGGCTTGAGTAGATGAAATTCCAACTACAAAGGAGATGAAAGTAATAAACTATTTTCCATCGTGTCACAGAGCTATAATAATTGTGCTTCATGGATTATATTGATATATTACTTTTTTTGTTTCTTCTTCCAAATAATGTTTATCATTACTTTCCAAGAGGATGAAATATCACCATTTATATTTTACTTTTGATTGTAAAATAATAATAAAATTCGAAACGTACATTGCAATACCCTTTAATATATTGCATACAAACGAATATCTAAGTTTCAATTGTACCTACAACGAAACATTGATTTATCAAGTAAATATAGCGCTATTGGTTTCGATTAGACTAATATAGTAGGCATTTGTATGTAGCACGGGGAAAGGACATCTACTGACAATCACACATTTCCAATTGAGAACATACCTGCAACCTACCACAATATTATTTTCGATATTTACACACTATAAGAATCACAACATTACAACGCTAAAATGTAATTACATACAACTATTGTCCATGAAATATACATACACCATAATCTAATATAGTATTACCTAAACAAGACAAATTTGAAAGAGGAAAGACAAGCGAAATAAGGTTTACCATGTAAGGTACATTCATGTGAACATGAGATAACATACTCTTGAGTGGTCGACTTGACGGTCACTTTATAAAATACGACAGACAGATTTTTTTTGGTTTAAATAGTAAAGCATTTTAGCCTGAGTCAGGACCCGGTTTCATAAAACTAGCCATCAATAGCATATGTTAAATAATATCTATGACAAAGTTTGCTCTCAGCCAATCAACCGCCAGTAGCTTATAACAATTATAACTCTGGTTATTTATAACAATTTTTATGAAGCAGGGTCCTGGTTTACTATTGCACCAGACCCGTCGTTCCCCTGATAACAGAAGACCGTGAAAGGAGACTGTGGAAGATGAAAAGACATTCACAGGAACACGGAAGTCAATATATAAATAAATAGATAGAACATGTATGTCCTGCCTGATGATAATCAATTCAGATGACATGGTTTGTTACTTGGTAAAATTACTATGCATCTCTTTTTTTTTACATTTAAAAATCGAGAAACTATGGACGAGGCTAAAACAAACAAAATCACTCCCTGGTACAGAGGCCAAAAGGCTTCTAAATTTTAACGATAGTTAAGGACGGTCGACAGGTAATTTGCCATTTCACTTGTGGGGTTCAATAACTCGCTATATGCAGGCGGCTGTTGATCTCATAGTCTTTCCACAGGAGCTGATGGTTGTAGGGTTGGTTGAGCTGGTGGGTACAGGTTGACAGCAGGTTGAGCCGGTGGGTACTGGATAACAGCAGGTTCAGCTGGTTGGTAGTGGTTCGTACCGATTTGGACCGGTTGAAAGGACCCCGCTTGTTGCTGAGGTTGATATGAATTCACGAATGTCTGTTGACCGCCTCCTCCCTCTCCTCCTCCTCTTCCTCCTCCTCCACTTCCCTGGATAATGGGAGGTATACTATTTCCGGTGTATATGCGGCGTTTGGGGCAACGGCTGTTGGTGTCATTGCCGTTTCAGAGAACGTCGTTGGTATGTTTGATAGGTGACGTGGGGAATAGCAACACCAGGCGATGCTCAGGGTCAGGAGGATGATTCCAATAACAAAAACTGCTATTCCTGCGTTCTTCTGTATCGGCAGATCAGACTTACTCTTTTCCGGTAAGCTGTCATAGTAATTGCCGAAGGTTAATACTCCCATTAATATATTTGCAACTCCGGCAAATATGAACACGAAGGAAATGCATATCAAGCAAAGCGAACATTTATAGAAGCGCTCCAAACATGGACTATCTTGGGGATTTGCATTGTAGATGTTCGTTTGTGCTACGACAGGGGGCGTTGTACTAGTTGCTGTCATATCCTTCTACGGACTGTGTACGCGATCGAGGTGTAAAATCAGTTCCCTATTCGCCGTTTCCCTCCACTTTGAGTATATAATGTCAGGCGAGTTTAGTTCTGACAAATACAAAGAGAGAGAGAGAGAGAGAGAAATATACTACATTTACAATCAAGAAAAGAATTAGGATGGATATGGTTACATGATAGTGCCTTTGATACTAAATCAGGCGCCATTGCCGTGCACTACCGAGTTACGAACCGTCTCCAATCTTGTTCTTATTAAAGTCAGTTACGACATCTGAACAGAGCTTTTCAAAGGTATTTTACTATCGCTATCATCATTGAGGATTAATTATCATTATTATCAGTGTTGATGATTGATTGCTGATTATTATCATAATCATTTTTATCATCTTCATCATCATCATCTTCTTCATTATCATTAGTAAGGTTATCATCATGAAATTCATGGCTATTCAAAAAGAAGAATAAACGGTGATTTTACAGTTCATGCCTGAGCTATTCGACAAATAATGTGGGAATGTATTACAGATTATTGAGAGTTCACTTCTTCATGATGACCGGTTTCAATTTAATTTCTTCAGATAGTGAATTCAAAATTGTAAATTATAAACAAGTGCAAACAATTATATACGAAGAATGCGTACAAGCAAATTGCGCTAGAATTTCGCGTTGCTTGGCAACGAAATCACATTACGTATTGTTACATCTGTTACATCATAGTCAAAATCATATCATGTCAATCTCTATCTCCATTTATATTTCATTATACTTGTAATCTAGCTTTTAAAGGTAAAGACCAGTATTGGAAACGCCCCAATTTCAAAAAATGAAATGGAAGCTCTTATTACCAATCATGTGAAAGAATATGTTTTGAATAATACATGGTGATAAAACTGTTGACGGGAACCAGAACCTTGCAGTACATCTATGCTAGATGATCAACCTTTTCTGATCGATTTCACAATGTTTCTTTCACAATGCAATCGCATGACCATCAGCTTTAAATAACAGCAAAATTATTTATATCATTAATAATTATGCATGCACATTCACATAATAACCTCATGATTCTCTAATATGAATTAAGACTTGTTCAGCTCTGGCTGAAATAATTTTTATGAAATACTTTTCTTTAATCTTATGTCCAGTTATCTTTTGCTCTCATTTAGGAAAAGTTATGACGTCAAATTTGGATTTATTCCTTTTTGCACATCTTGATATTTATTTACTCACATCAAGGATTTGATATGTTCTATCTTTTATGTGTTGACGACGGATTTTCATTCTATTTCATAAAATATTTCCCGCCTCTCCGATGTATCGTTTTCCACAACCAAAAATACAAAAATAAAAATATCACCACAGACATGGCAGTGCTTGATTTTTCAAAGGCTTTTGATGTCATCCCGCACCAGCGTCTCCTCATGAAATTAGACTATTATGGTATTCGAGCAAATAATAAGAGATGGATATCTAGTTTCCTGACAAAGAGACTGCAACGTGTCTGTGTAAATGGTCAATGTTCCGAGTGGTTACCAGTCCTCAGTGGCACTCCACAGGGCACAGTATTAGGCCCTCACATTTTTCTACTCCACATCAATGACATTCATGAAAAGGTTTCCAGTACAACACGACTTTTTGCTGATGATTGTTTACTTTACCGTCCCATCAAATCTGCTGAAGATGAGAAAGCTCTTCAACAAGTCCTATATTATGGTCCAGTGGTCCAAGACTTGGGGCATGCATTTCAATCCCTCTAAATGCAAAACCATGCGTGTTTCAAGAAAGAGAACACCGGGTACTAAATCCTACAAAATCCTTCATGTTACCCTGGAGGAAACGAACCAGACCCTATACATTGGCATCAATATCCAGAAAGACCTACGCTGGAATAGCCAGACTCATTACGCAACCGGCAAAGCCTCAAGGGTCCTTAACTTCCTAAGGCGCAACTTCCATCACTGCTCATCTAATGTTAAAGAAAAGTTGTATCTTACTCTTGTACGTCCACACCTTGACTACGCCACTGCAGCATGGGACCCTTATACAGCCAAAAACACCTATGCTGTCGAGAAAGTTCAACGTCAGGCTGCACGTTTTGTCACCAATAATTACGGATGGGACACCAGTGTTACCAAGCTACTCAAATAACTCATCTGGAGATCTCTTAAAGACAGAAGGGAAGCACACCGTCTTACCTGCCTCTTCAAAATGATCAAGGGACAACTCGACATCGACTACCAATCTCACACCAACCCTAAGCCAGACAGACGTAGACGAGGACACTCCAACCAATTTGAAATTCGCCACCCAAACTCGGACGTCTATGCCAACTCATATTCCCAAGGACTGTAAAGACATGGAACAACCTACAAAGAGTAACCATCGACCAAACCTCCCCGCTCTCATTTAAAAATACAGTTACTAAAGAACTTTTTTCCAAAATGTAATCGTCCACCCTCCACCACCTCCAGTCAAAACTCTTCTTCGGAGGATTTAGGAGGAAAAGAATCCAAGATCCAAGAGAACTTCAATCGTAACTAAAAAGCTATTATCGTCAATATTTTCAGGTAGGTCAAGAAATCAAGAAATCTACAATATCTTGAATATCGGTTTTTACATGTTTCCAGCATGGTTACAGTATCAATCAGATAGTTTAGACGATGAGTAGGACATACCGGTCCTGCAACTATTGGTCTCATTTCCTCAAGTCCATATCAGATCCACATTGTACTTATTTTTATGTTGGTGCATATTAGAATAGATAAATAAATCAGATTTTAATTCAATAATTGCTCTTTTCGATTAATATATCGCCGTTTTAATACGCAATATCATAATACGATTCAAATCAATCTTACCTATATAGGGCTAACACTTCCGTTTCAGTATCACCGATATATCTGGCTTATGAGTTCGCACTGTACTACACGCAGTGATACAAACCGGATTATGTGTCAGCAGCCTCAGCACATCATAATGTATACCGATCGTTTTCCTACATCGCCACCACAAACAAATATCATGGTTAACCATCGGAATTCGGAAGCAGTGACGTAAGATTCATGCAAATGAAAAAAATAACACTGATGAAACGTTTATTCCATTCCAACATGAAAAGTACCCGGAACTAGCAATGATGCGCGATCTATTTTTGTTCAGCTTACGACGTGGGATGATTCATGACTCATAGCTCGGATGAACATGGCCTTTAGATGCAACACTTGCAGACGGTAAATGATCGCTAGGCTACGTAAAACTGGTCATGGCATTGGGTGATCCTGACCATCGGGAAAGCTTGACCATTGTGTGAGCTTCTGGGACGTTACCTCACCCCTGGGTAAACTCATTAACCAATCAACGTTACCTATCAACCTACAGTGCGTTAATCTTCATTTCATGAAGCCTGCACTTTTCAGGAAATAACACCGATGAAATGAAATTCCATTCCAAGAATTGGCTTCCATGGAATAATACAAGGATGCGCGTACTAGTTATATTCAGGATACGTGGCGGATCCAGCCGGCGGCAAGGGGGGGGGGGAGTTGGGGGTGCAATTCTTGAGAAAATGCCGCATTCCGCGCTTCCGCGGAAAGGAGGGGGGGGGGGGGGGGGACTCTGAGGGGGATGTGACCCCAGCTGAAGAACAATCACATTTTCAAACGCAATTTGTGCGATTTGGTGTTATTTATAGCCAGGATGTCATTTAAAATCTGTGACTTTTTTGCAGCATAAATTTATGATAAGCCTTTGCTTTCTAAAGCCCTCATCACACCGAACTAGTTCTCAATACGTTCTGGAAAATGTTGTCAAACGTGCTCAAACTGTGTGCAAACGGAGTTGAACGTAGTAGCAACTGTTAAACGATCTGTTCAAAAGCTTTATGGACGGGCTCGGACTGGCTATAAGGGAGAGTGCTCTAGAACTTTGAGCCTGTTCAAAATTGTCCTCGTCCTGCAAATAAACGGAGTGACAATGTACTTAAAACGAAGAGGACGTACTACAAACGGACTGATTGTCGTACTAGGGACGGAATTGCCTCGATCCTACTAAGAACGTGTTACAACGTGCTGTGGTCGAGCATCAATTAGCAGCAGTATAAGCCCCCATCACCCCCAAACTAGTTCTCACTACGTTCTAGAACCATCCTAGAAAATCATAAAATGTGTTATGGTCGGGGTAGAATGTGTAAATAATGTCTATGATACGATCCTACTACGCTCATGAGCAGTCCTCAATACGTCCATCTCGTCTCTACCCCGTCCACAGTCAGCTCATATCAAGTTCAGATCGGGCAAATTTGCCATTTTCAAGCAGTCCGGCCCGTCCGTAATCAGTTTAAAACAGTTCTTAATTATTTCTGCCTCGTTCCCAATACGTCCAAACCATTCTAACTAGTTCGCAACTTGATCTGACTTTTTGTTTGTAACCCGACCACCCCGTTCAGGAACAGTACAACTTGTCCTCATCTCGTTCTTAGTGGGTTCGAACGCGCCTATGTAGGCTCGAGGACTATAAAAACAACTTATCTGATCGATTCCTTAATTCTCCCCACTATAGTATTACAATTTAGTTACATTTTAGGTGAATGCAAATTGTCACAAAGCAATGAGTTTGTTTTTTAGCAGATGTTTCTGCATTTATTGATAAATCAAATATAAAACATTTAAATAACAATAATAGTATATGATACAATCGATTTACATAAAATGTGACAAACTTAAATACACACACATAAAAATGCATATAATGCATAACAACTTATCTAATCGATATTTTTTAATGTAACAAATATTGAAAATTAAAAGATTTGGTGCAATAGCAATAATCAAAATATGTATGAGTTATTGTATTTTCCAAACTGAATAAGAAACAATATTCTTAAAGTGAAACAAGTATTAGTAAACAATATCTGGAAATAAGTTGGTTCCATTTGTATTAATTTTCAAGAAAATGATTTACTTTCCCCTTAAATTGGCATAGTTAAAAAGTGCATTACCGAATTGTTGTTTTCAGCAGTTAAGTAATAGGATACAATATGTACGTAGTCCATCGTCTACAGTGGAATCTAGTACAATAGATATGGTAACAGGTGACCCCATTGATGTAGCAGACATAAGAGTCAAACACTATTATGATTTGATATTAGAAAAAAACAGGATCTGCCGTGCATTTATTTTTGGAACGCTTATTTTGATTAACCTAACTGGAAGACGGTGCTTTATTATAAATTTTAATTTATAAATGACAACAGAATTAAGCAGTTTAATTTTTAATTTATTCATAGAATAATACCCAGTAAAGATAATTTATGTAATAAAATGGAAGATTGAAAATAATAATCTATGTGATGTCTGTAAAATCCCGGATACAACTAACCACCTTCTCCTGGCTTGTAAGAAGGATTTCGCTTTTCTTTGAAGATTGTATCCAAATTAATCGATACGTTGTTTAATTTAAAAATCTTTCTGAACGAAAAAAAACTTCTAATAGCTCATGAAATAGAGAAGAGAGAAATGAATCTGATCAATCTTATTTAAAACTTTTCTCAGCGCATTATCTATAGAAACTATATTAGAGAATGTTTTGGAAATATGATGTATATTTGTCAAAAGAATTAAAGGTAGAAATTCGCACCGATCTCGATAACAAATGTAATCAAAAGAAATTTGATACAAACGAAGTAACAAACAAAATGTTTGCATCGTTTCATTTAGTGATTATATCACATTAGTTTCATGTTTTGTACTATATATGATATGTTACAAGTGCATTAATTATGTATATAAAAACTGTTGTAAATAGCTGTTATTTTTATGATATGAACAAATAAAGTCCCTCGACAGTGGAAAAATAGAAGAAAAAAATATTGATATGTTACTCTTTTGTTTTTTCTTCCAAATAGTGTCTTTCATTACTTTACAAGAGGATGAAATATCACCATTTATATTTTACTTTTGATTGTAAAATAATAAGAAATTCGAAACGTACATTGCAATACCCATTAATATCTTGCATACAAACGAATATCTAAGTTTTAATTATACCTACAACTAAACATTGATTTATCAACTGAAAATAGTATGTTTGGTTTCGTATAAGGAGTATAGAAGGCATCATTTCGGATGTAGCACGGCGACAGGACATTTATATTTACATTATAAGAATCACATCATTACAACACTACAATATAATTACATTACGATACAACTATTATCCATGAAATATTCATACACCATAATCTAAAATAGTATTACCAAAACGAGACAAATTTGATAGAGAAAAGGTAAGTTCATTGAGGTATACCATGGAAGGTACATGCATGTGAATAAAATAGACAAGAGATAACATATCTTTGAGTGGTCAACTTGACGGTTACTTTATGAAATACGACAGACAGATTTTTTGGGTTCAAATAGTAAAGCATTTTAGCCTGAATCAGGGCCCAGTTACATACGACTAGCCATCAATAGCATATGCTAAATTGTATCTATGACAAAGTTTGCTCTCGGCCAATCAACCGCCAGTAGCTTATAACAATTATAACTCTGGTTGTTTATAACAATTTTTATGAAGCAGGGTCCTGGTTTACTATTGCACCAAACCCGTCGTTCCCCTGATAATAGAAGACCATGAAAGGAGAGAGTTGAAGATGGAGAGATATTGACAGGTACACTGAAGGCAATAAATAGATAGAACGTGGGTGTCCTGCCTATTGATAATCAATTCAGACGAAATGGTTTTACTTGGGAAAATTACTACGCTTTTTTGTAACATTTAAAATTGAAGAAGAAACTATGAAAGAGCCTAAAAAGACATAATCACTCCCTTATACAGGAACGTATAAGGCTTTTAACTTTAACGAAAGTTACGAGTATCCGGTTGATATATAATTTTCCATGGATAGTTGGTGTCACAAATACTGCCGAATACGTCTGATCATACAACTGTCATGGCCATCTAAAAGTAAATCTTTTTCGCTTAAAAGTTTCCATAGGACTTAATTGCGTCACTTGTGGGATTCGTTAACTCGTTATATGAAGGCGGCGGTTGATCTGGTAGTCTTTCCACAGGAGCTGATGTTTGTAGGGTTGGTTGAGTTGGTGGGTACTGGTTGACAGCAGGTTGAGCCGGTAGGTACTGGCTGTGAACAGGTTGAGCCGGTGGGTACTAGTTCGTACCGATTTGGACCGGTTGAAAGGACCCCGCTTGTTGCTGAGATTGATATGAATACACGAATGTCTGTTGACCGCCTCCTCCTCCTCCTCCGCCACGCTGGATGATGGGAGGTTGTACTAACCCTGGTGTAGATGCGGCATTTGGGGCAACGACTGTTGTTGTCATGGCCGTTCCAGAGAATGTCGTTGGCATGTTTGATAAGTGACGTCGTGCATAGCAGCACCAGGCGAGGCTCAGGGTCATTAGGATGATTCCAATAGCCAAAACTGCTATTCCTGCGTACATCTGACTCTTACCGGACGTTCTCTCTTCCGGGAAGCTGTCATAGAAACTGTCTGACAGATTTTCTGCTCGAAAATTTCCTATTATTATATTTGTAGCTCCGGCAAAAATGATCATAGGGGATAACATTGCACAACATATCGAACATGGATAGAAGCGCTGCGAACATGGCCTATCTTGAGGATTTGCACTGTACATGGTCGGTTGTGCTACGACAGGAGTCGTTGTGCTATTTGCTGCCATCTCCTTCTACGGACTGTGTACGCGATCGAGGTGTAAAATCAGTAAACCATTCGCCGCTTCCCGCCCCTTTGTAGTAAATAATGTAAGTCGAGTTTAGTCCTAAAAAATACAAAGAGAGAGAGAGAAAAAAAACATTATATTATTATACAATCAAGAAAAGCATTGGGATAGATAATACAAGATTGTGCATTTAATACTAAATCAGGCGCAATTGCTGCGCACTAACGAGGCTTGAATTGCTTGTTCTGAGTAAATTAGTTATGACATCTGATCGGAGCTTTTCAAAGGCATTTTTACTATATTTATCATTATTGATGATTGATTATTGCTTATTGGCTATTATTATTATTATTTTTGATGATTGATGGTTGATTATTATTATCATCATTATCATCATCATCTT